TTCTATAGCTTTTATAAGCGTTTTATAGTTACTTTATATCTTTGCTTATACTAAGGCTAAGATTTATTTAATATAGTCTACCTAGGATAGCTATATCTTCTATACTCTTTAATATCTAAGAACTATAATACTAAGGAACTACTAGAGGCTATTACCCTTAGTAATTTTATAGTAGGATTTAAGCTATTTAGTTACTTGCTCTACTACTTTCTAATCTTTATTCTAGTAGGTAAAAATAATATTATCTATATAAATGAAGATTAGTATATTATTATAAGTAAAGTAGTAGGATTTATAAAGAACTAATATAAAACCTATTACTCTTAGTATATATATTAGCTCCTTTTACTATAGTAATAGGGATTCCTTAAGTCTATAAAGGGCTTTTTTTAGTAGGAAGACTTACTTAGGTACTTAATACCCTAGTAGTATATATATATAGATCTCCTTTTCGAGTAGTATATTAACGAATATATTTATAGTATTATACTAGATTAGTTCGAGGTTGAATCTAGTAGTAATTACTATTAATATTCTAAATGATTTACTAGTAAGGGTAGCTATATATATATTCTCTATATCCTCCTTTTACTACTAGTCCCTTTAGATAACTAGTCTAGCCTTATATTTAACGAAGATACTATACTTATTATACTTATAGATATATACCTATATATAGTCTAGTAAGGTCTTTCCTATAGCTATCCTTACTAGGTATTCTTCCTAAGACTTTATTTCTTTATAGCTCTTAAGGTAGTCCTTCTCAGCTTATATAAATAGGTCTCTAAGTATATATATATAGTATTCCTTTACTGATTTCAGGGCTACTAGTAGTTCTTACTAATAGACCTACTATCCCTATTATAACTAATGAAGGATAGCTATACTATCTATAGTAGGAGCTCCTAATAAAGACTTCCTTATTTCTTACTAAATAGTTGCTTTTATAACTAGCTTTTTATCTCTTTATTTAAGCTAGCTATATAGCCTTCCTATATTAAATACTATAATCTAAAGCTATACTTTATTAGTTATAGCTACTAGTAGTTTCCTTAGAGCTTCTATATCTATACTTATAATTGAAGTAGTAAGGATAGAATTATATAGTAGAGGAGGTATTTCCTCTAGGGTTATTAAGGCTAACTATACTATTTCTAAGAAGTAATTAGTCTCTTTAGTATACTCCTCTACTAGTTCCCTACTCTTATATACTTATACTTCTATATTAACTTAGCTATAGATAGAGTAATTATCGAGGTCTTAAATCTCTTTCTCTTATAGGAGATCGCTTAGGTTTTCCTATAGGATTATCTATTACTAGAGGAATTCCTCTATAATATTAGTATCGACCTCTCGTAAGTTATCTTATAGGTATACTAGCTACTTATTGAAGGTTATTACCTTATCGAAGATAATATCTTATATAATATATACCTAATTACTCTATAGATTCTATATCTTATATATATTAGTTGATTTATAACTAACTAAGTAGCTTATCTATATATATAAGTTTATCTTCTTTAGCCTTTTAGTCTTTGATTATATAGTAGATATTATTATATATACTTTATAGCTATAGACTTATAAGTAGTAAACCTAGGGGTACTAGTTAGTAGGAGACTTAGCTATTAATTTATTCTACCTCTTAAGTAGTATCTTCTATATATTCTATATATACTTAGGAAGCCTATTATATAGGTATACTACTACTATTATAATCTCCTTCTAGAGGAAGTTTAGTAGTTTCACTTATACTTATATACTTCTTACCTTCGCTATAATTATACCCTTTAAGTACTCTATAGTATTATTCTATATTTATATCTATAGTATAGAAGGCTTGAGTTTTATATAGTACTTATTCTCTAGCTAGTTAGTAAGCTAGTATAAGTTTATAATTTTATTATTATATTCGAGGATCTTAAATATAGCTTCTTTTACTTTAAGTATTCTAATAAACGAATTAAATAAGCGTTTTAGTACTTACTAGCTCTTCTCCCTAAGGTAGTAGTTATATATTATACTTATTTTCCTATATATAAAGAAAGCTATAGTGATATATCCCTTAGGGTCTTCTATAAGATCTAAGAAATCAAGGGCAAAGTAGTATATATCTACTAGTAGTTATTATAGAACCTGCGAGACTTACCTTCTTATTTTGCTTATAGTATACTTATTATATTTATATATTTAGAGCTTTTAACCTACCTAAGCGCCCTTATATAAGCTAGTAACCTTACTAAGTCCCTTAGAGCTAGAATATCTAAGCTAAAGGTATTATATACCTTCTAAGGCTTAATAGCTTAATCATTATAGTATTAAATTGAAGTAAGTTATATAGGTGAAGAATATAGACCTAGTTACTATATTTAGTAGCCTCTCGAGGATATTTTAGCTATATTTATATATTAGAGTATATAAGATAGAATTATTATAGTTCCTATAGATTATATTCTAGCTTACTTTATTATCCTAGTAGTACTCTTTCTCCTAAAATTAGTTAAAAGGTATAAGGTTATAAGCGAAACCTTCGTAGAAGGTAGTATTCTTAATCTAAAATATCTATAAGCCTTTTATACTTATTACTTAGATATCTATATTTCCCTATATAAGGATAAATACCTTTCTACTACTTGCAATTATATACTTAGAGGAGTCTATAGTCCTAGTATTAATAAAGTAGCTGATATTATTAAAGATAGGAATAATTATACCTAAGTCTAGTAGAATAGACTATATAAGTAAATATATTAATTAGATATTCGTATTATAGAATACTATCTATACTTTAACTAAGAAGCTAGCTATAGTATACCCCTATACTTATTAATAGAGCTTATCCCCCCTTTATACCTTAATTTCCTTAACTCTATATATAAGGTTAGTATTATATTTAACCTTCTTAATTATTCTCTAAGGCTTACTATACTTAAGCTCGAACTATAAATCTACTTTCTTAGGAAATAGAGCCTAGTAGTCTTTAAGGTAGTATAGTTTTCTATATACTTTATAGCTTTATCTATTATACTTTATAAGTAGTTTGTCTTTATCTTATTATTTCCTTATATTATTTATTCTTCCTCTCTTATAGCTATACTTATTTCCTAAGTTCCTTTATAGATACTATTTAGCTAGTATATTTACTTATATATCTTTCTACTTATACTATACTATATATATAGTATATATACTCTTACCTATTTACTAGTATATAGGAATACTCTTTATAATTAGCTACATCTTATATTATATATCTATAGCTACTATAATGAAGCTAAGGGTTCCTTTATTGATTTTAGCCTAGTTAGTAAGTCTATAGCTAGTTACTTAGCTAGTAAAGTATTTAGTATAGCTAAGGGTAGTAAGGAAGTAGTTAATCTAGGTTTATATATATTAGACCTAGGGAATATTATATTAGCTTCCTTTTACTATTACTCTTTTCTATTCTTCAACCTAGGGTATAATCTACTTCTAGGTTATCTTATAAGTAAGGCTTACTAAAGTAGTATTATAGTTATTAGATACTCTGCCTTCCTAGTTTTATAGTTCTAGCTATACTATTATTATTAACCTAGTATACTATTTATCTAAATCTCTATTATAGTAGTAGGTTATTTAGTAGGTTTTAGCTACTATACCTAGTACCTAGCTCTATATACTAGCTTTTATTATCTTATATATATCCTATTTCTTTATACTGAATTTATAGTCTCGAAAGGCCTACTAGTAGTCTAAGTAGCCTATATCTAATAGTTCTAAGACCCTTATAAGTAGAGCTATAGGATGATATTAGGTAGCTTTATAGTTTTCTAGTAGAAGGAGTTAAAGGGATTCTAGCTAAGGCTTTTTCTTTTATACTAATTCCTAGACTTCTATAGCTTCTGCTTTTATTTTAAACTAGTTCTCGAAGGTATCCTAGTCTATAAGCGTCTTATAGATAATAGCTAGGCTACCTAAGGGGTATTAGGTTATTATATTACTATTTCGAGTAGTCTTATATATTATATTATACTACTAACTCGTCCTAGTATATAAGACTCTTAATTATCATATATAATATAGATTAGAAGGGTTACTGAATATATTCTCTTATACCTAAGTTAAACTAAGTTCCCCTAGGTACTTAATTTCCTTAGGAAATACTTATTTGACTCAATTATATAACTTGCTTAATTATCTGCTCTTAGGTTGTTCTGCAGGGACCCCTATAGGACCCCTGCTGCCCGTTTGACACTTATTGATAGGCTTAGTAGTCTTAGTAGCATGTTTCGATATGATCCTCGTTCATAATAGGCATCCTATGATTACTCGCTATCTATGTCAACGTCTAACATTTCGTAACCCGTTGGCCTAGATCTTGGATCTCCCCAATTGCAACAATCTTCAAATCTTCTCGTCCTGCACTACTGCGGTGCCCTCCTCTTATACTGGCACCACCGCTCTTTCCTGTTTGCCTATGGTAATTGCTATGAATCGCTGCCTTTTGAGTCCTTGTCCCTTGAGACAATGCCTATAGTAGTCTTGTTTCTCCAGAGTCCTACATAAAATGCCCTCTCATAAGTAACGACCCTGTCTCTCACAGTGACTGTTGTTACTCAGGTATACAAGCCACGTTATCTTATGATCGTAGCTTACCGGCAGCCCGTGACTACAGTGCTGGCTGGTATAGCTTTCCACTAGAGGAGCAGGAGGCAGGAATCCTCTATAAGGTGGCTACCTTGTATAGTCTATCTTCCAAATAATCATACCCTGGCCAATGATATTACCACTGTCAGTATATGGAAATATAGCTGCCAAGTCTCATAGGTTTGAGACGAGTCTCGGGCGTGAAAGATAGACAAATCTGGTCGTGGTCATATTTCTGTCGCTGTAAGATTAGACCTCACGCTGGTCCGGGATGGAGTCATATTATCTGCGGTGTCAGGGCGAGGGTGCGGTAGGACTTCGCTGGTAGATTTGGTAATATAATGAGTTGTAAAAACACTCTATCACGTGATGGGGGGCTGGCGCAACGGCAGCGCGTGAGATTCCAGTTAAATGGAACAACCTCAAGGTTATCTGTTCGAATCAGGTGTCCCTCACTTCTGTTTTTGTTTTTTGATACCTCAACGCATTTTGCCATCTACCCCTGGTTTCCCTACCGGTCTAGGTGCGACTTCATCCTGCTTCAATAACGGAGTATCACCCTTGCCCTAACCCTGGTTCCCGCTCAGATCGATATATCCATGCATGCTCCTATCTGAGAAGCTGTATCCTCGTATCCACGCTGGAGGCATTAAAGCAAGCAGCCGTAGTGCATCATCAGGTAGACCAGAGAGATGATCTCAGTGGCTTCGCAAAGTTGATTTTGTCTAATGTGTGAGGCGGGTAATGGATCATGAATCTGGTGGCTGTCTCGGATTTTGTTTGCGGGTTGCAACATAGACGCATGATATAATAACGGCCAGAGTGTGTGGAACATTTGAAGAGTATGGGTCCATTTGACGCCGTACAAAAGCTTGACCAAGTGTCGAGTCTATATTAAGTGACTTAGATCGGGTTTGCCTACTTGTTTTGAGGTTCTTCCCCTATCGCCCTTCCCTCTCATTTGCGTGTGCACAAGTTAGCAGATGTGATCCAGAAAGATACACCAACTGCCCTGGCGCTGGTGGAGGAGTATTAAAACCTCCCACCATAAGAAACGTTCTACCAAAGTCAAAGCCACCACAGCCAAAATCACCACCGTCTTATAACACTCTAAGTCCTGTTCCTAGCCTAAGTCGGACCGAAATCCCAAACACTTCTGAATGATACGACCTCGAAACCAGTCTTACCATCGCTGACGTCAACTGGTTTGCTCCAATATCGCCGCCAGGGCCCGTATTCGAACGGATCGCTAGCCACTTTACCCTACTTACAACATTACACTCGATATAGCCGACAAGACTGCTAGAGCACTCGCCACTACCGTTACGCCCAGTATCAACTGCCAGGATGCTGCTGCTAAAGTACCAGGATCCATTACCTATACTATTTCGAAGTACGACTACTATAGAGCTCTTATAGCAGCCGGAACAGCAGTGAACCCCGTTGCATCTATCGATGCTTAGGTCGCTGCTGCTACTCGACAACGCGTTCATGAATATATGGATTCGTGGAATCATATTATCCGAGCCGCTATGGGTACTGTTCGCTCTATCTCCAAGGCAACTAACCCTAGCGTGGCAGCCGCTGGCGTGGCAAGCGCCTTTCAGGGACCCATGTGCAAGGCCTTTCTGTGGCTACAGTGCTGCCGACTTCCATGGCTCTCTCTTGGTTGAGAGCATGGAAGATATGAATGAGCCTGAGAAGAGATGATTTATGCTGTTCTTCCAAGCGGTGGCATTCTTATGTGAGTCAACAGATGACTTACAAGGTTGTTTTTGGGCCTTTGCCTACTTGATGCATGAAGAGAGATTGCTCTCACTACTATATATGTAGTTCACCATATCTATCATTAAGTTATTTTGCACACAATGCCATTGTGAAGCCTGTACGAGGACGAAAAAAAAGTATCCTTATGTGTCTTCCAGTACGCTCCAGGGCCCGACAATGGCTCAGACAAGATTGAGTCGGAAGACATGGCTCATTGCCTTCAGACCAAACATCGAAGTACCTAGATAATTGCAGGCAAGTAGTGGCGCCACCTTATCCGTAGCTGCACATCTGTCTGAATCAATGGTTAAGAAGAGGGCGACCCCCTCGATTTAGCTATTGTTATCAGATAAGTGCGCTCTTCTCTGCTTCCTTGTACTTCCTACCTAGATACCTACCTAGGTAGACTCTGAGAATGTCCTATCCAAGGTATACATTCGCGCCTACCTTATAAGAAGTACAACAAAAAGAAGACCTCCCTAGCATATTCTATCAGTGATGACAGGAGAAGGAAAAAATAAGTTGAACATAGCAGTAGAGCTATAGTAATTGTGGACTAGGGCGAATTCCCTCTGTGCTTCTCCCTTCTTCTAGATTCAAAGGCACGCTATTCCCCTGAACTCCTTATTTATACCTAGGCAGTACGATCACGACTATGACCGCGAAGACGACCGCGAAGACGACCGCGAAGACAACCTCGAAGACAATCGCGGCCAATCACAACACCCTCAACTTCAGCGTATCTATATCAAGTCCCATCATGCATCGAGTTGTCCAACTCGAGGGCAGGCAGACCCATTGAACATCTCGAGGGCGCAGGCAATTCAGGCTGGGGCTTTCAGATTTGATTTTAGAGAATTACCGACTGTTAATTATGCAACACAATAATTGACGCGCTCCCTGCTTACCACTTTCAATGGCCATTATTGTTTGCAGAAGAGAGGATAGAATCCGATCGGCACCTATACCGCGTCTACCTGTCACTACCGGCAAAATTGAAGACTACGAGAAAATCGCCTCTGCTGAACGCCACATTGAACAAGTACACATGAAGATGGAAAAGAGGGGGAAAGCTTCTTAGGCAGCAGGACGAACAAGTCAGCTCAATCTTCTGGGGGCATCCCATAGACTTGGTGAGGATGAGATCCCGACCAGCATGGTTGACAAGGTCTACCACCGGGGCACAACACCGCGTGATGTCCACAGAAGAGGCCAGTAAGAAGCTGGAGGAGGAGGTCGAGAGACGCAGAACCGAGGCTGGAATTGGGGCCGGGGGCAGCAGTGGTGGCCATCAGCTCTGGGAGCGTCTGCAATCAAGACGGCCGAGTTCTCGTCAAGTAATATTAAATGTGTTTTCCCGAGATCGAGGGAATGCCCACCATAGGGCAGCGTGAGCGGGAGCGTAGAGAGCCTGGTCCATCAGTTGGCCTGGGTGCATGCACCGTTGACCGATTCGTCCGTACCGTGGGTGAGTGCGGACCTGGTATTAGACGACGAGGCTGTTCCTGCAAGATCTAGCTAGCATCTAGGACCTAGATAACTATCCAGACAAAGAATAGCTTTCAGTAGTCCTCGGCAATGCCACATATTGACTCCGAAGACGGCCATTATTTGCTACAAAAGTGCAGTCTCCTCCATGCCGGAATTGTCTGTGAAGTTAGAGGCGTCTTCGCCGAGTTGCCTGCCCTAATTCAACACGTTGTCAACAACGCCTCCTCCATCAGCAACCAATGTCTTCGCTCTCACCTCGCCTGGGCCGTCACCGCAGCCACGGCCCCACAGCGCTCGCGGAGCGCTGCATGGCCTAGCCCGAATCATTGCATCTAAGCACCTGGACCAGTGGGACGCTCTGGTCGCCGTTGAGGATGCTGACTGCCGCTACGTGCCGTTCCCGACGGTTGCGACCAAGTACGTACGCTATCAGGACGTGATTCCGCGTCGAGGGTGACCTGTCGAGGGTAGCACGCCCTGCAGCCACTGCCAAGAGAGCTCCTATAAAGCTTCAGAAAGGAGAAGTGGCCTACTGCAACCGTACTCTCCACCCAAAGCCCCAGCGCACGTAACTCATCAACCGCGGTTTATGTGTCTTGGGTCTTGAGGTAGCCGGCTGGCTCGTCGAGAAGGACGCCCGCCGCTGGCTGCCTCCTCGCGGAGTATGGATGTATTCAGACGAGGGAACCACACTCAAGGAACCGTTGACAGGGTGGAGCAGCTGGAGCAGGCCGGAGCCCCAAACGTGGGTAGTCTGAACTGAGGGATGCGTTAGACCGGCTCGCGCTGCCAGTAGTTTTTGGCATCGTATATGCGGGTATTTAGAGCGTCCTCCATGTGGCCGTAGTGAAGGACCAGCGCGTAATGGATACGACGGCGGACTCGTTCGTGCTTGTGCTCTACATCAAGGTGTCGGGCACGCTCGCCCTTGATACCGTCTTCCCGCCCGGTACTCTGGACTGGTAAGTGCAGTTTGGTTCGTACACGCAGTTGTTCGATTTCATGGGATAGAGCAACTATGCGAGCGGTACCGCTTTCCTGGACGCTCTCGCGATGAAAAGACGCCACAGCGGTGGCGATGCGATGGCATTACTGTGGACTCACCGCGAGCGTGCTGATAACTATACTGGATAGTGCGGACGAGTTAGAAGGATGGGCTGCAATTGCTGACTTTGATGTCTATAGCATCATGACGGTGACATTGAGAAGTATCTGCAGAGCGTATCTAGGTCATGATGCCGCCGCGTCTTGCTTAGGGGTGCCTGAGTGCTAATCACGTCGTGACACCTGGGGATGGTCTCTGGAGGAGCTGTCACGAGGATGAGATGCTGGGATGACTGTCACTCCTGAGGACTGATTGCGCGTGTCAATAACACTTGTAATGGATTCCTTCATATCATACATGCCTCCGGTTCAGTGCCAGCGTAAAGATACCCATGAGCCATGGCCAGCAACTGCCCCGGGGTGCACGTGTGGGCATCTTCAGGTGAAACAACCTCCCAGCTTTCCGGTAGCAACCCCATCACGTTGAGGAGTTACTTCGGTATAATTTTCAAACTTATCTGTGGGAAATCCAAGTTTATGAATATGATGAAGGGAATACAAATCAGTCTATGCACCCTGAAAGGTGATAAAGCTCAATTAGGAAGTCGCACACCCAAACCCGTCTTCGTTGTAATACGGCAGCCTAGTCCGTACCATTCGACCTTCTGCTGGCTCCTGTATCGGTACCCTGTGAAGTACATGGCAGCTAGGGCACCAAGATCGACCACCTGTACCCTAGGGTACTTGGCCTGGACTGGGACTCAATCTCGCTATCCCCGCGTGCTCGAAAAGGAAGTCAAGAACCTGAAGGCAAAGGTAGAGAAGGCCAAGAGGTGAAGAATAAAACGTCATCTGCCTTGGTGGAAAGTGCATGCCCGGTCCATAGGATACCTCAGGTCCAAAGAATAGCGGCATGGTGTTGGCAGTCCCGCCAATAGGGCTACGTTTGCTACGAAAAGAGCAAACACGCTCAGCTTGCTCGAAATGATATATCCTCATCTGCGTATACAGTGACCATCCCCTTTGAGCAAGGCGGAACTATATACATTGTCATTGGAGTCAACCAAGGTGGGGACATCTGGAAAAGGCGAGTAATTATCATCGAAATTATTGCTATGGACTATGGTCAACAGCCGGCCGGCATCGCGAGCTA